TTTTTTTTTTTTATCATCAATCCATTGCATCAGCCTTAGAAAGACGAACATCAGCTGTATTTCTTTTTTTCAAATCGTTGAAATTATTAATTTCTTAAAAAAGTCTACTCCACTTATTTTGTCAATAATTCAATTTTTTGTGATAATTAGTAGAAAGTGAGGAACACGTTCATACTACTCCTTGGCTATTATTGCAAATAACAGTTTTTTCCATTCATTGTTTTGTTATGAAAAACAATAACAAAGGGAAGAAGAATATGGAGTTGTGTTAGTCACACATATAGAAACCGTTATCTTTTTATGTTGTGCTGAAAATTTCTAATCGTTGCTTGGGGCACATCAGGTAAAAGAGTTAGTGAGTGATGTCTGGAAGAGAATTGGGAGTGCTTAATGCACTCGATATGGCGAAGACGCAATGGTACCACTTCACAGCTATTGTGATTGCTGGAATGGGATTCTTTACCGATGCCTATGATCTCTTCTGTATTTCTCTTGTCACCAAATTGCTGGGGAGGATATATTACACAGACATATCCAAACCAAAGCCTGGTGTTCTTCCTCCTAATGTGCAAGCTGCAGTGACTGGTGTAGCACTGTGCGGTACTTTGGCTGGCCAGCTTTTCTTTGGATGGCTTGGTGACAAGTTGGGAAGGAAAAAGGTTTATGGCTTAACTCTTATGCTGATGGTAGTGTGTTCCCTTGCCTCGGGGCTCTCTTTTGGAGATACCCCAAAGGGTGTCATGGCCACACTTTGTTTCTTCAGGTTCTGGCTTGGCTTTGGGATTGGTGGTGACTACCCTCTATCGGCTACAATCATGTCTGAATATGCCAACAAAAAGACTCGAGGGGCATTCATTGCTGCAGTGTTTGCCATGCAGGGATTTGGAATCTTGGCTGGTGGAATAGTTGCCTTGATTGTGTCATCTGCATATGACCACAAATACGATCTTCCCAGTTACAAAGAAAACCCAGAAGGATCAATAGTTCATTCCATTGATTATGTTTGGCGTATCATTTTGATGTTAGGTGCAGTACCAGCTGCGGTTACCTACTACTGGCGTATGAAAATGCCAGAGACAGCTCGTTACACAGCCCTAGTAGCCAGGAATGCAAAACAAGCTGCTTCAGACATGTCCAAGGTGCTACAAGTTGAGATTGAAGCTGAAGAGGATAAGTTGAACCACATTGTAGAGAGTGAAAACCAAAGATATGGCTTGTTCAGCAAGGAATTTGCCAAACGCCATGGGTTGCACTTGCTTGGAACCACAGTAACATGGTTTTTGTTGGACATTGCCTTCTACAGCCAGAACCTTTTCCAAAAGGACATTTTCAGTGCCATTGGATGGCTCCCTCCTTCACAAGAAATGAATGCAATCCATGAAGTTTATAGGATTGCAAGAGCACAAACACTCATAGCACTTTGCAGCACCGTGCCGGGGTACTGGTTTACCGTGGCCTTTATTGATTACATGGGACGTTTCGCCATCCAATTGATGGGTTTCTTCTTCATGACTGTCTTCATGTTTGCTCTTGCCATACCTTACAATCACTGGACCAAGAGAGAAAACAGAATTGGGTTTGTTGTGATGTACTCTCTCACCTTTTTTTTCTCCAATTTTGGTCCAAATGCCACCACGTTTGTTGTACCAGCAGAGATTTTCCCAGCAAGGTTAAGATCCACCTGTCATGGAATCTCAGCTGCAGCAGGAAAGGCAGGAGCAATTGTGGGTGCATTTGGGTTCTTGTATGCTGCACAGAGTACGGACCCCAAAAAGGTTGATCACGGTTACCCAACTGGTATTGGGGTTAAGAACTCTCTCATTGTGCTTGGTGTAGTCAACTTCTTAGGAATGTTATTCACCTTCTTAGTGCCAGAATCAAAGGGAAAATCACTGGAAGAGTTGAGTGGGGAGAATGAAGAAGGTCCTGAGGCTGTAGAGATGGCAGGGTCTGCTAGGACGGTTCCAGTTTAATCAACAAAGTAGTCCAAAATTCAAGTAATGCCACTATTGTATGACAGTTTTAGTTCAGGTTTCTACAGCCAAATGCACTATATGATGTAGATATATGTTTCTCGATGTTGTAATTTTAAATCAATAACCAATGGTGTGTATTTCATTCCTGTCTTTAATTTAAAGAGGCGCTTAAATCATACGTGTATTTCATATCTGTAGCTGAAGGTATTGAAGAAAAGTTTTGTTGAGTTCTCACTATGATATCATATATATGTATATGCATACTTTTACTGTGGAACAGATTCTACAATATTAATTCAATAATAAAAGGTTTTATTTTTTAATTTTCTTTCCTCCATTTTGTATGGCAGAGACAATTTTTTTTAAGATAATTCATATATCTTGTACAGGCTTATGGTAAATAGAAGAGAAAAATCAAAGTTTGCCTTAAACTTTGTCTTTCTAAATAAGCACTCCCAAGTTTATTCTTTCATAGAATCCTTCAACTCTTATCGTACTTACAGGAAAGGGATCAATTAAACCGACACAATAAAAAAGTTCATAATGTCTCTGTTAAATACACAAGTTTAAGGTGATTGTATATCCCCAACCCCAATATAATAAGTTTCATATTAATTAAGGATAATCAAATATAGAAATGACAATTTTTTTTAATAGGATAAAATGCATGTAAATGAATAATGAACGGAGATAAGGTATTATAGTAAATTTTTTCAATTAAAACTTTATATTTTTAGTATGAATATAAAGGTATATACGTAAATATATATTTTAATAATATTAATATTTTAAATTATTTGGACTGAAATGACAATTCAAATGTCTATTTATAAATATATAAACCTTATTAGTTACATTATATGTGTTCTTTTGTTCTAAAGAAAAAAGATTGTATGTGATGGGTTTATTAAAATAAAACATTGTGTAATACTGCATTTATTAACAGAGTTACTTATTGGTAAAAAGGGGAAAGAATAATAAGTAGCTAACAAATATTAATATTTATCAATTTTATTCCATAAAATTATATTTTAAATTAATGAATAAAAATTTGTAACCTTTAGTTTCAAATTCTAATATTTCTTTATTACTACACTCTCACTCTGTTATTTTCACTTAGTCACAAGTTGTCCTTTGTTTTTTGTTTCAACGAGTAATTTAACAACCATTTTCACAATAAACTTAGCACACCCAAACCAACAAATTTATTAAGGAATAATTGCTTTGATGTAAAAAATGTAACATCAAAATATACATTATACTATTACAATTATCCTGGTATAACTGCAACACCAAAATATATACACACACAAAGGTATTTTTATACTAAGAGTTATATAAGTTAAAAGTATATTAAAGTTTTTACAAAAATCTAATATATACATAAAACTAAGCATACTACCCTATGTTTTTGCACCCTCATCATTAAGAACTTAATTAACAGAGATATCTTTTCTGGTCATATAATTAAGGTGATCATTGAAAAAAAAAAAGACAAATACAAACACAGATAATAGGATAAATTAATTTACCAAAAAGAGTGATTATACAACTGAAATAAAGATATTAACACATAATTTATATCAACCAATCGTGAATTATACAATTATTCATTCTAGACTTGACTATCTAGATACATATATTGATGTCAAACTTTGGAAAATCTACAATTGTGGTGATGGAACAACTTATCCATACAAGCTTAGTTCATTAATCATGAAAAACCCTCGACTAGGACCTCCTATACTATTCTTCATGACATATCTCACCTTTCTCGACTTGAGATTAAATGGTATTATTAAAGTGTTAGGATAATCCCAATATAGAATCTCTACATCAATATATATACTAAATAAAAATATTATAAGAACTTCTCCTTGAAATTCTTCTCACATACATACTCACAACCATGTTTACCATCCATTAAGCATTAACAATTCCAAATAAATATGCATTGAATCCATATAAACCACTTCAAAACAAGCAAGAATAAGAAAATCACAAAAAACATGCACTAGCTTCTAAATAGGTAGCGCTTAGCGTCAGGTCTGACGCTCAATACCAAATCTGACGCTCAACGCCAGACTATTCACATTTGGTCTACTCAGAAGTGAAACTGATGCTCAATGCCATATAGAAAATCTTGCATCAATTTAGCTTTGATCTAATGAACTAAAAGCTTATTCAAATAACCAAATTGGTATTCTTGACTCATTTCCAAAAACATGTTTCATTGTCAGATTGAATACTAATCTGTTCAATTGACTATAGACTCATTTTATCAAGTCAACACCAAACCAATCAATTCAAACAATATACAATCATTTTAAACTAACAGATTTCAACATACACTTTTAAGCAATTCTAGACAAATATTTCATCAATTCCAAGCAACCAAAAACCAATTACACTCAACAAGCCATCTAAATAGAATTTCCATACCAAATTCAACATGCATCATAGGCTAAAGACTTATTAAAGACTTTAAAATGTTGTAGTTAGCTTATCTTACTTATTAGAAGCTCAAATTGTTCTAAGGGACCTAGAATGACTCTCTCAATTCAAGAAATTCTATTTACTCTTACAAATCACAGAATCATGATGATAGTATATTTTTAGTATCACTAATCAGCAGAGAGCTCTATAAAAGACTCAAATAACACATGCACTCATCAACTACTACAAGCATGGAAAAATATACAAACTAGAAAAAAGATAAAAAAAATTAACTTACTCTTTTGCAAAAGTTGATTGAGCATGCTTAAAGACTTTATTATAATGATCACTTTGATATATTTTAATCTTTAAACATATAAATTACGAGTTAAAAAGCTCAAAGAGAGAATAAAGAGTTTTTAAAGAAATGTTTTTAAAAAAATATTATTATTTTAGATAATAAAACTCATTAATTAAAATTATATTTTATATGTTTGAATTTTTAATATTAAAATAAGTGAATTTCATTATTTAGAATATACTATTAATATCTTATTTTGTAGACTTTTATATTTAACATATTGATATTAAAAATTATAAATGGGATAGGATGGTCTTTTTCGAAATATTTTGGTAAATTTATGTAGTTCTCAGCCGCCATACTCTTTTTTTAAGTGTATTCCTTAGTGAAAAATAACAACATCAATTAAAAAAACCGATAATAGTTAATAATTGGCTAACGACTAAATTGTGATAAAATATTTTTTTATAGAATATGATAATTCCATAGTATATTTTTTCTTATTTATTATCTATCTCATCGTATCTTTTTAATTTGAATGGGGACTAATGATAATACTGCTACAACTCAGACGAGATATACTAGCAAATAAAATTTGGTATGTGTAAAAACTAATTGATATTTACTATTTTTAATAAAATTAATAAAAAAATAATGAATATACTAAAAAATTAAGCAAAAATTTTATTTCTGTATTAACCTAAATTTAGGTTTTTTCAGTTTTGTTTTGTTATTTGATTTTCATATAAAACTTGCCGTCTATTTAATATTTTATAAGTTTTTAAAGTACCTATTTAGGATATCTAACGGGAAAAATATATTTTGATATATATTGTTTAAATATATGTTTAGATGATATTTTTCATACGTATTTCAAAAAATTAAAATAAGTTTTAAGAGTTAAAATTAATTTATGCAGAAGTTAATTTATAGAAATTATTTTATTTGATTTATCTAAATTTTTTATTTTTAATTTATATAAAAATTAATTTTATCTTACTCATAAAATTAATTTTAATTTGTAAAAAGCTTATTTTATTTAAAAAGATCTTATTTAAAAACTGGTCCATAAACGTAATTTTTCATTTTCATCTACGGATAGAAAAAGAAAATTAATCTTGAAACAAAACGGTAAAGTAGTTGATTAACTGTGTCAGGAGTTATATTTCTTTAGAATTTTCAAATTTTGAATTTGAATTTACTTTCTTTTTTTTAGAGTCAGAACAATGAATAAAAAAGAAAAATGTCATAAAATATAATTACCAATAATAAAAATAAAAACTGAAAAAAGTTAAAAATATCAACAGAATTCAAAATTTGAAATTTCTGTATTAATTTTATATTTAAAAAATAGAGATCTAAAGATATTTTTAAGGATGAAATTTAATATAATCATATTACTTCCTAATATTATATATCTACTGCTTATCCTTTGTAATTATCATTATCTTTAATCTCTAAAAAAAATAAATAAAAAGATTAAAAGGAAATAGATAAATAATATTTTTGTTAGTTATATCTTTTAGCAAGATAAGATAGAATGGTTTCTTTTAAATAGGGAGCCATCCCTCCTTTTACCTCAAATTCCTTTGATCAAAGCTTACTACCTTACGTTGGTGATTTGCGGTGTGCTACTGAGGTGTGTAATATCTTCTCACGTTAAGTCTCTGTGATCTGCTTTCTGCTGGTGTATGTAATACGAGAATGTTTATAGTTTATATAGTTATGATTTTAATATAGTTTGATCTTTTAAGGAATAAATAAATTCTTCTGCATTTAATCTATCAGTCCTTCTCTGTTGCTTTCTGGGTTTTTCACTGTAAACATCTACATATCTACGTGATCTTATTCACTTGAGGGTTTCAATGCACACGTTAGAATGCAGGATAATGTTCTGCTCTCTTTAGGTTAATTATCTCCTTGTTTTTTAAATTACTGTTTTAGTTGTTAGTGGTATTTTTTCTTCTTCTCTTGTCTATTTTGTTATTAGATTCATCTTTTGCCTGCATCATTCTCTTGATACTCACCTAATATCTTTGATAATTTTATTTTATATTTTAAAAGAAAAGTGTCATGTGATTAGTGTTTGAGAGGTTTTTCATAAAAAGTGGATGTTAGTATTAAAAAATGAGATACATAATTTTGCCATTTAAAATTTTAAATCTTATCTATTTTCGGGCCGTTGGTAACCACTAAAACTCTCTCTCCATCATTATAGGTATCACTCTTGATGTTTATTTATATATATTATTTTCTGATGTTAGCTATTTTGTGTTTTTCTGAAGATAAGGTCCTGAAAGATTGAAGGAAGAAAAGCATGGGTGGGCAATCTCTGCATGTGCTTAATGCACTGGATGTTGCTAAGACACAATGGTATCATTTCACAGCAATTGTGATTGCTGGAATGGGTTTCTTCACTGATTCTTATGACCTGTTCTGCATATCCCTTGTCACCAAATTACTTGGCCGCATATACTATACTGAAGGCCATGATAAGCCGGGTTCTCTGCCAGCAAATGTTTCAGCTGCCATCAATGGTGTCGCATTCTGTGGATCCCTTGCAGGCCAACTTTTCTTTGGGTGGCTTGGTGACAAAATGGGAAGGAAGCGTGTCTACGGGATGACCCTTATGCTCATGGTCGTAAGTTCAATTGCTTCTGGTCTTTCCTTTGGCAAAGACCCAAAAGCTGTCATGGCTACCCTTTGCTTCTTCCGCTTCTGGCTTGGATTTGGCATTGGTGGAGACTACCCTCTTTCCGCCACCATCATGGCTGAGTATGCCAACAAGAAGACTCGTGGAGCGTTCATAGCTGCTGTTTTTGCCATGCAAGGTTTTGGAATTTTGGCTGGTGGCCTGGTTGCAATAGTAGTGTCAGCTGCTTTCGGTGCTCTCTACCCTGCTCCAACATTCCAGGTCAACCCACTTCTGTCCACAGTGCCACAAGCTGATTACGTTTGGAGGATAATCTTGATGTTTGGTGCAATCCCTGCTGTGATCACATACTATTGGCGCATGAAAATGCCCGAGACTGCGAGATACACTGCCTTGGTTGCCAAGAATACGAGGCAAGCTGCTGCAGATATGTCAAAGGTGTTGCAAGTTGAGATAGAAGC